TTTGGGATTCATGCTTCATTATGCATGAACTTTTCGCATACTACTCATGACTTGTTATTACCCATTGAACCCATTTCTTGGGATCTCCAGTCTATTGGGTCGGGTTACCATCACTTGTAGTCCGTGGTTCGGTAGGCATAAGTCCCATACCCTTGGCGGTATTCTGGACTTTCTCTCTAGGTAATCCTTTCGTCAAAGGATCAGCTAGATTCTGTTCGGATCTTATATGATCCACCCTCACTGCTCCTATCGTTAGGAGTTCTCTAACAGTACTGTGCTTACGACGAATCTGTCGTTTCTTTCCGTTATAGAACCGGTTCTCAACTTTAGCGATAGCTGCGGTACTATCACAATGTATCAATACCGGAGGGACCGGGCTTTCCCATAGGGGAATCTCTGACAACAATCCTCTCAACCAACTTGCTTCTTCACTAGCCGTTGCTAGTGCTATCATCTCTGATTTCATAGTTGATTGAGCTAGGATTGTTTGTTTCTTTGACTTCCAAGACACAGCTCCACCAGCGATGTTAAAAACATATCCGCTGGTTGCCTTGGAGTCATCTGATAGGGTATTCCAATCCGCATCACTATACCCTTCTAGTACAGCGGGAAACCTTTGATAGTGTATACCAAGGTTTGATGTTCTCTTGAGGTATCTCATGACCCTCTCTATAGCATTCCAATGCTCTCTACTAGGACAGCTGTTAAACCTGCCAAGCAATCCCACAACATATGCAATGTCTGGTCGAGTGTAATCCGCAGCATAACGGAGACTGCCAATGATGCTAGCATATTCTGTTTGTCTTACACTGTCTCCAGTGTTCTTGAATAGCTTTACACTAGCATCATACGGAGTACACGCAGGTTTACAGTCGAAATAGTTATACTTCTTCAAGATCTTCTCTATGTAACTAGATTGATCTAGAGAATAACCATTTGCTGTTCTAGTTATCTGGATTCCAAGCATAAACTTTGCTTCTCCCAGATCTTTCACCTCAAAGCTCTCTTTTAACATGGCTTTCGCTTCATTGACCACGTGAATATTTGTACCAAATATCAACATGTCATCTACATACAAACATATGATAGTGCAAGTGTTATTCTCTGACTTGCAGCAAATACACTTGTCACTTTCATTCACCTTAAAGCCATGTGAGAGAACGAGAGTGTCAAACTTCTCATGCCACTGTTTTGGAGCCTGTTTCAAACCATATAATGATTTGTCCAACTTACAGACTTTCGAGGCATGTTCAGGGATAACAAACCCTTCTGGTTGTTCCATATAGATTTCTTCATCTAGATCACCGTTCAAAAAAGCAGTCTTAACATCCATTTGGTGTACCACGAGATTGTTCAAGGCAGCAAGAGCAATCATGACACGAATGGATGTTATTCTAGATACTGGTGAATAGGTGTCGAAGAAATCTATATTCTCTCTCTGCCTGTAGCCCTTGACTACTAGGCGAGCTCGGAACCTTTCGATTGCACCATCAGGTTTCCGTTTCGTTTTTAGAACCCATTTATTACCTAAGACTTTGCAGCCAGGAGGTAAGTCTGTTAGATGCCAAGTCTTATTAGCCTCTAACGATTCCATTTCATCTATAACGGCCTCATTCCAAAAGTCTGCATCTATGGAAGTTAATGCTTCCTGCAAACTTTTTGGATCCTCTAGGGTGTATACTGTAGTAAAGTCATCACCAAAATCTTTAGAGATTCTAGCTCTTTTACTTCTTCTGAGTTCATCCTCAGATCCAACACCCCCACTTGTTCCGTTATCTCTAATAGCGGGTAGTACATTACCCCCACTATTTCTCGTTTTAAATGGAAATCGTGTCTCAAAGAAATCAGCATCAATGGATTCTATTACTGTACGAGCATTCAAATCATAGAATCTATATGCCTTACTATTGGCCGCATAGCCAACGAAGACACATTCATATGCTCGACTAGCCAACTTAACCCTCTTAGGATCAGGAATTCTTACGTAGGCCAAACAGCCCCACGTTCTTAAATAGGACAGATTAGGTGGCTTATTCTTCAAGATCTCATAGGGTGATTCTTTTCTATTTGTTTTTGGAAGACGATTTAGCACATAGCAAACCGTCAACAAAATATCACCCCACCAAGAAGAAGCAGCTCCAGAATTGAGCATAATAGCCACAACTAATTCTGTAAATGTCCTATTTTTCCGCTCAGCTTTACCATTCATTTCTGGTGAATATGGTGCCGTGGTTTCATGAATGATACCATGTGAGCTATAGAATTCCTTGAAGGGATTAGAGTCATACTCTGATCCTCTATCGCTCCTAAGTCTTTTTATCTTTCGATTGCACTGATTTTCGAATTCAACCACAAATACCTTGAACATGTCAAGGGCTTCACTTTTGTTTTTCATCAAATAAACAAAGCAATAATCAGAGCAATCATCTATGAAAGTGATAAAGTATCTCTTGCCAGACCTAGTTAACGTCCCATCTAGTTCACAAATATCATAATGAATCAGATCTAAGGGTTCTGATTCTCTACTCACAGATTTATGGGGCGTTTTCGTTATTTTAGCTTGGCTACAGAAATCACATTTATCAAATTCATTCATTGAGAGTTTAGGGATATGCCCTAGCTTGCTTAAATTCTTCACAATTCGTGTGCTCACATGACAAAGACGAGCATGCCAAACATTCAAATCACACACCATGTAAACTGAAGAATTCATCTTATTAATTTCGACATTCAACTTGAACATCCCATTACATGCATATCCCTTTCCCACAAAACTCCCATTCTTAGTAAGGGTATACAAGTCTGCCCCAATAGATTGATTAAACCCAGCCTTATTAAGAAGATATCCCGAAACAAGATTCTTCCTTATCTCTGGAGTGTGCAACACATCCTTGAGCACCATCTTCTTCCCAGAGGTGAAGTTCAGCTCCACTTCACCAGAACCAGCAACCATAGTGGTGTGAGTAGTCCCCAACAACACTTTCTTGTCAGCAGGTGCTTCTTCGTATGTTTTAAACATAGCACGATTGTTGCATACATGCTTCGATGCACCTGTATCCAGCCACCATCCTTCTGAGTCACCGGTGAGGTTAACTTCAGCGATCATATCTGTGATCATGGCTACCAAATCCTCTTCTGTCAAGTTAACCCTGGCCGCAGCGGCGGGGTTATGCTTGTTCCTGCACTTTTTTGCCATATGACCCGGTTTTCCGCAGTTAAAGCAGATAAACGGTGGGTCATTCTTAGAGGTTTGGGCCATGACCCTTTGGTTACCTCGAGAGGCACCATTCTGGTGGGGGCGGACCTGCTGGTTCTTACCCTTAAACCCTTTCTGGTTAGGTTTAAGAGCTCTAGGGGTGGGTCGTTTAGCAGTGACGACCATCACCTCTTCTTTCATATCCTGCTTGCGGGACTCTTCCTCAATCCTTAGGCGAGTAATCAAACTTTCCAGTGAAAATTCTTTGGTTTTATGTCTAAGCATATTCTTAAAATCTTTCCACGAAGGGGGCAGCTTATCAATAATGCAAGCAACTTGAAATTGATCGTCCAGAGGCATACCTTCAGAGACGATCTCGTGAGCTATTTTCTGAAGTTCGTGGGACTGAACTTCGACAGACTTGTCATCCACCATCTGATAGCGCAGGTAGCGGCTGACAGCATACTTCTTAGCTCCAGCCTCCTCCGTGTCGTACTTCTTTTGGAGCGCATCCCAGACCATCATTGCGGTGTTCTTGCTGTCCGCATAGTAGTCGTAGAGGTCGTCTGCCAGGCCGTTGAGGATGTAGCCCTTGCATAGGAAGTCATGCTCCCTTTCCTTAGCAGCAGCAGTCCTCTCCTCATCGGTTGCTTCTTCCGGCAGCTCGACGGGCATGCTAGTGAGGCAGTGTGCCAACTTCTTGGTCGTCAGGTAAAACTCCATCTTTTGTTTCCAGCGACGAAAGTTGACTCCAACGAAGCGAAACGGTCGATTGATATCAACAGCACCAGATCCGGCCATGTTGTTCTGTTCAGTCGACATAGCAGCAGCCGAACGTCTTAAAATTGTTAGAAACGGAACAACAACAAGATGAGGATACCGAATCTGGAGCTGAGTCGCGGACTAGGTCGCTTTCTTTAAGACGTTCGCGGCACTGCCCTCGATGCGCACGGCAGACTATCAACCGGTCGTCTCCAGGATAAAACAGCTCCTCTGTGTACTCGCGGTTTTGTGCGAAAACCGGAGCTCTCTGAACACTCTCTCTATTGTGTTTATGCTCGTTGTGGTGTGTTTAGAGGGGCTGGGGAGGCGGCTATTTATAGGAGCCGAACCCCTAGGAATATACCCTCTAGCTTGGGGAATAAGTCGGATTAATTAAGAAAGATAATTACTTTCTTAATTAAAACCGTCGGTTAGGATAATTACTTTCTCAAGTGAGACAACCAACCAACCAACCAACCAACCGGTCGGACGGACGGCGCGCGCGCGCGCGTGTGTGGTGGTTCGTTAGGTCCTCCCTCTCCCACAAAAGTGGGTCACCCCAAGGGGCATGCCCTTAGGAGAGAGGCTCCTATCTTTATACTCACTTCACCAAGTAAAACTACCAATGTGGTAGTTTTTCCCCTTGAGACTCTATAGCTTTCAAAGCTATTCATACACATTTCCAACACGCTCGGCCAGAGACGGGGAGAAGGCGGAGATCCAGGCATCCAGTGGCGGGGGTTCTTGTTCCCCTGTTTCGCCGAAGCCCCACTATTATGGACTGCGCGCTAAAGGACGAGAGGGAGTGTAACACTCCGCCCTTTAGGTTAGGTTCGACCTTAATACGTGATCGGTTGGATTGACAGTTAAGTACTAAGAGTTACAACCGGGAATTAATAATAATAATAATTATTATTATTATTATTATCAATTAAAAAAAATACATTTGCTCGGTCGGGCCGAGCGACCCACTCTACCAATTATTCCCCACTCCCCCAGCATAAACCAAACTTCCCCTTTCCCAAATTAATTCCCCAGCGAAGCAACTCCTCTCCCCAGCGAGCAACCCCCGCCGCCAGCACTCTCCCTAGCGAGACCGAGAAGAAAAAAAGAAGAGGGGGCGTCGGTCCTTTCCCCCCACCGCTGCCACCTTGAGCCGACCCCGGGCCCGATTCCCCCGACCCAACCGATCCCTTTAGTATTTCTAGGTAAGGATAGCTAATCCTTTCACGATATTCAAACCCGATTCATTGATAGGCTAATCCGAAACTTGTAGTTTTGTACTACAACGTGTGCGGTGAGATTTTAGGGTTCGATCATCGATCAACGAGGAGATCAACGTCCCGGGCCATCCAATCGAGTCCTAGGCACGTTCTAGAGGTAAGGGAACTCGATCCCTATGAGTTAGATCGATCGATTTGGTGATTTTTAGTGATGGTACAATTCTGAGTTTTTGGCAACAGGCTTTATTGGCTTTTAGTGACAGATTTTGGGTGTCACTAAAGCTGCTGGGAATTCGCAAAATTGTATTTTTGGATGCTTTAATTGTTTTGAGCATCTGTGGGTGTTGCTTTCTAGTTTTAACAATTTTATAAATTGAGCGGGGTCTAGGAGACGGCTGTGATTTAATTTGGGGATATTTGATGATGTATTACTATTTTTAGAAATTGGTCGAATGTTCATTTTAATTAAATAAAAATCTTGCCGATGGATTTTTAAGGGTTTGATAACTTTCTTGGTATGTGTTCTCATGATTGACATGAGAAAATTATTATTCGAATTTTTAAGAAGGTTAAAGTTAGATGAAAAATTCATACAAGACAAAAATAATTAGGAAAAATGGTCGGTTTTGAAGGGATTATTTCTAGAAAAATTTTAAAGGGGGTTGAGGGACCTTAGGAGTGAGGCTCGAGGGCTGGATTTTTGAGGATAGGATGTTCTAGTGATTCAAAAGATGTTTTAAATCAAGAAAAGTCGTCTGAGAAAATGGATTCTTATTAATAGGTTTCCCCGAGATAATCCGGCTAAGGAGGGGTTTCTTCGAGGAAGGAATCGAGGAGTCATCTTTTCGAGGTGAGTGTAAAGAGGGTAAAATCTCTGTCGTAGGTCTTTTAGTTTATGCTTTTCGTTCAAGTTATTAATTAGTTAATTTTTGAGTTATGCGCGATATGTGTGTGAGGCATCCCACCGCCTATAAGGGTGGAGGCACGCGTTGTGCTATGTATGAATGTATGGATGTATGATTGTAATAGTTGGTTAGTGGTAAGATGAACCCCCGGGCGGTTGGGTCACTACTGGACGGCGAGACGTAATGCAGTAGTTGACCGTGCATGGACTGGACAGCGAGACGTAACGCAGTGCCATTGTCGAGTTTGGGTATGCAACCGTACGGCGAAACGTAACGCGGTTGGCATACTAGGGTAGGGAGACCGGACGACGAGGCGAAACGCGGTGGTCCTAGTGTTGGTGTCTATGGTTTCAGAATATAAGTAAGGAAATTCTAAAGATAAATAGGCGTGGAGATCTCTTATAGACTGTTTGATAACCAAGTATAAAAGATAAAAGCGAGAACGACTTTTGTCTAAGTCAAGAACCCTAATAACGTGTCTAGTAAGGCGTTTCTTAGGGCGAAGACCTTAGGAAGTAACGACGAGACTGACCCCTTCTCACTCACCAGGTGCGGAGAGGGGAAGAAGACGCATCCATCAAGAGGAGGTTACCCGAGGAGAGCAGCCGCGACAAACCTGAAGATGTCAACTGGATCTGGGTAACGAGATGGGACCTCCCATTATATCTGTCTTTAGTTTCATGTCTTAATGAGTATACTGGGAAACTCAAGGATTGTGTTTTATGTTTTGTTGCTCTAGATTGAGGTCGCCCAAGTGTTTAGGGCATTTCACTTGAGAATCTTAAACATTATTGTTGTTGATTTTTGGTTTTGATTTGTAAACCTGTTTTGGGTTGCTCCGGAGTAACCGGTTTGTGGTTTGAGTTATGGTTTGGTTTTCAAAAAGGATCGGGTCGTTTCAGGAAGCCAATAAATTATTTACATTTTTTATAAGGAATAAATTATTTTTAATTTTATTCTTCTGAATGAGGTGGAAAATGTAAAAATTAAATTTTATTATTTTAAAATTGTCATGTCACACATTTAACGGTTAACTATAATAGTTGACTGCCACGTAAGTTAAAGTTAACGGAGTTGGACGGAGAGTGACCAAACTTGAAATGTTTAACTAATTTTAGTGACCACGAATGGATTAAATATGTGTAGTGACCAAATATGAACGTTTATGATAATCACTATAACCAATTATGCAATTTACCCCTATAGTTTCTACTTCTTTTCAGTGTGAGTGTGTGATAGAGTTCAACCATAAAAAGGTTATGTCATTACATGTGTTGTAAATATGTTTATTTGTGTGAACTAATTATGTGCTAATGAACATGGAATGTTGGCGAATTCTTCTAGTAGTGCTTGCCCTACACCTAGAAAAGAAGAGACATTCTAAATTTTTGCCTTCGGACTCATATATTCCTTTTTTTTTTACACAAACTTGAAAGCATACTCAATCGGGCGCGCGATGATAAAAGGTATGAGGGTGATGGTCAATGTAGTCAAATGTGCGTTTCCACGCAGAATCAAAAAATGAGTAGAAACGCAAAACATAAAAGTGTAGCGTAAAAACGTACGTTTTTTTTATATAATCTGATTGATTTTCAACAAACTATATGTCATGTTTAAAAAGGTCACTACTCATGCAAATAATCTGATATAACAAACTTTTAATAGTGTAGCAAATGTAAAACTAATCCAGCAAAGCAATAAGGAAATAATGAGACTTCTTCATTCATATAGAAGTATAACCAATTAACAACTACACCTCATTATTCGTTGTTTTGTTCCGATGTGGATATCAAATTAAATAGGATTTTTTAGACTTCTTTTATTATGAAGTTCTTCATTCATTGAACGCGAGAAATCAGATTATTAGCAAATATTAATCACTTAAGTTGCACATCAAACAACAAAGTAACTACTTAATGAATATGTTGTGTAACATCCTCCTCCCTCTTGAAGATGTCATGTGTCATGCTCACATCAATAACATGCCATCCATATATTTGGGTGAGTTTTAAATAATGAACCAACAACGAACCTTGAAAGAACCTAAAAATTAACGGGGAATTAGAGTTTGGGAATTGAGAAGGAAAGTATGAGAGGAATAGAGGAGTTGCAAAACACTATCCGTTGGATCATCCTCAAATTTGTAGGATGCGTATTCCACCACCTTGAGCAATGACTTCTTCCACCATTTTAAAGATTGTATTACATATCTTAGACCCTAAACACGTTACAACCAAATCAAAAGACCTCCAGACAAGCTCATGTTGACACACTTTGTGGAGACTCGATTGAACTGCAAATCTTTAGGAGCTAGCTTCATGGTAGAAAGATTTTTTTTATCGGATGTCCCCTAAGGGACTTCATGGTAGAAAGATGATAAGGTCATGTGTTAATGGCATGCACATATGTTACATAAATAATTTTCATGGGCTTATGCCCCCACAAGTCGAGTGCTTGAGAGAAATTCTTTCCATTATCTAAAACATCGGTGACGCCCTAGTAACCTCGACTTGTATATGTTGTTTCTTGGTAGTTGTGGTTGAGTGATTATAGATAATGGATGACTTGTTTAGGTTTACATAAAATTATAAGTCCGAGGAAGAGTCTCTCATGCCATAAGCATGCTACAGTCGAATGTCATTTTGTGGTGTTATTATCGTCCTAGTTATGTTATATTGTGTATCATGCTAATGACCAGTTGAGATTCACCAAATTTTACATTGCTCCTATGATTTAACCAAACTTGTGTTTAATTTTTTTGTCAATGGCAAAGTTACATTTGATGTTTTGCTTGATGGCAAGCAAAGCTTAAGTGTGGATGTACTTGATAAATCGTAAATTATACATGTTTTCACACCTTTTTATACGACTTATGCTTTGTCATTTTAGCAATATTTATATATTTTGTCAATTTTATACTTGGTTTGTTGTTTTAGTGTGTTTTAGGTCATTAGAATTGAAGTTGACGATATTTGGATGAGAAATGCACTAAGTATCATAATTATGGAGTTCATGATGATTTGGTAAAGCATTTGAATGTCTCTGAAGTTAATTTTATGAACCCAACAAGCCTAGGACACGACCGTGTTGGTGGACTTGCGTGAGACATGAAGATTATTCAAACGATTGAAAAAACAAAGAAATAAAATTACTGTTGAGCTTAACACGGCCTGATGCACGGTTGTGCCCTATCACAGAATTCGAAACCGGCTCTTGACACGACCACGAAACATGTATGTGTTCATGGTTGTGTTCGCGGGCGACAACAACTCTATTTAAGCCAAAATTAGGTTTTCTCGATTGACTTCGACCACACTTAACTTAAATCCTAAAATTCGAGTTAGAGAACTGAGAAATAAGGTTTTGTAGCAGCTCAACCCCTAGAGGATTCGATTGGGAGAGATCAATCAAGCATTCCTCCGTGGAGATTGCCTCTTCTTCTTTGTTTGTTTCCTCGTTCTTCATGAACTAATTCATTGTTTCGATGAGATGAACCCTAACCATGATATATTGATTTGATTGGATTAATATAGTTTTCAATGTTTATATCCTTTGATTCATCTTTGATTTATCATACGAGTATCTAACAGTTGCACATATGTTGTATGTTTATTTTTTTATCTCTATAACGAGGAGGGGTATCCCTTTATGCATGATAGAATAAAACCTTCAAAGATGGAAGGGATTGATCAGACTGCCAGGATGTGGAGGGCGAATGACCTCTTAATTAAGTTGAAACATAATATGAGAATTCAATTCACAAACATTGAATGCTTCGATTAATTGATTCTATGTCAAATATAACTTCAGAATCTAGGATTAATTGATTAATAGAGTGTTAATACGCAAGGGTATCATGTTTATCGTTATTTTGTGAATTCTTATGGTCTGGGAATGTAACATCGAACATACTTATGATCTTATTGGTGATTTATGTTTAAGGAGAAAGATTCGAAATCCGAACAACACCTTCTTTATTTGATCCAACCATAATGATTAGGTTTATGGGTTTGTTGGGCCATTAATTAGGCGACCAAATGGGCCACAACTACACAAATTTTGTTGGGCTCCGGCGGGGCAGGCCATCAAACAATACTTGGTTAAACTCCATCACGATTAACCAAAACGAGACCAGCTTAATCCGTATGACAACCTGCAGCTAATCACTCAGTTTGCTCTTCATGCCCTAAGTTGTTTTCGGCGCGATCTCCATCTCTCAGCCTCTCCTTGCTAGCGGTTTCAGCCTCTTCTTCCGAGACTAGTCACGGGCCCGGCCAGTTGGTTGTATTCAGTCGCCAATCACGTAAACAACATTATTAAATTGTATGTTAGATACGCGTGGTTTGATAGTATAAGAAACGATAAAATAATTAAAAATCTCGAAATATTCAAGTTGATTGGTAGAATAAGAGAATTCAAATTATTAAAGTACTTCAACAATTCAAAATGATCAATATCATAGAATTTCTCGACATTGTAATTGACTCATCGACAATAATCTTATTATGAAAATGACAGATCAACCTGAAACGACTCCTAAAGAATACAAATGAGTATCATCTTTGCATGATATAAAAAATTAAAGAACTATATACTTGATTATATAACTAAGTATAATTTAGACATGGTGTATAGTTGATAACAATTTATTTACTCGACGATAGACTCAAACAATTGCATTGGAAAATCATGTGAGAAGTGGATATGGTAGGCATGTTAGTTAAATAATAATCAGAGGGTATATGTTCAAAAATACTCCAAACCCGATAGAGAATATCACAATTTTTAATCAATATTGATTATCATTTTCATGCAAGTATAATTTACCTCGATCAAGTCGCGAAGATCGTCTTAGTTATGCTCTTCTCATCCTTGCCTATCCTAGAAATCGTGTACTCGCTTGTCAATTAGTAATGTAATATGTGAGCTTGATAGCAAACTTCAATATCCTTCCCTCAATTTGTAGCAAGTGATATTCCTCTCATTCTAATGTTATCTTGGAATGACCTTTCAGCTGGCATTCCAAAAAATTCATCTCCCAAGCGATCCATATCAACAGAGTTAGCCTAAGTTGTTTTGTCCACAACTCGAAGGTGGATCCTGAAAAAAATATAATGTTAGTAATGACATAAACAACAATAGAAACCGCTACTTTTGTGGACTGGTTTCACTTCCAGCATAATACCAATTGAAACGTCCCGACCTTTTTCGAAAATCAAACCACAACTCAAACCCAAAACCGGTTACTCCGGAGCAACCCAACCCACTTTTAAAATAACAAACTGACTTTATTTAATAATTTTAAATCAAAAAGCCCCAACACTTGGTCAAAATCTCAATCTCAAATACTTAAAACAACTTAACCCAGAATCTTGAACCTTGAATCTCCAGTACATATACTCATAACCATAAACAAAATAATTAAACTAACTCTAGCTCTAACTCCTGGTTGAGTTCCTTGAGGTCTCGTCCATGCTGGTGCAGTAGCTCGCCTCACACTGCCTCTCCTCGGGATCCACCTTTGCTAACCCTTCCTCAACCTGGTGAGTGAGAAGGGGTCTGTCTCGCCACTACTTCCTAAGGTCTTTGCCTTAAGCAAACTTTCTACTAACACGTTATTAGAGTCTCCTTCCTAGCAAGAAAGCCATTCTCGCTTTCTACTCTTTAAATAATCATCCTTACTAAAACACGTTATTAGCTTTCCCTTTCTTTAGATGAAAGCCGTTCTCGCTTTCATCCTTAATAACTCATTTAAACTTTAACTCTTAGAAGTTCTCTACTTCTATCTTAACTCGAACACATAAACACTAGGACCACCGCGTTACGTCTCGCCGTCCGGTGTCCTACCCTAATATGCCAACCGCGTTACGTCTCGCCGTCCGGTTGGCAATGGCACTGCGTTACGTCTCGCCGTCCAGTCCATGCCCGTCAACTACTGCGTTACGTATCGCCGTCCAGT